GGGGGGGGGGGGGATGCACGGCCAAGCGTGAGTGGGAGGGGGGCCTCCGCGTGGAGCTTACGACTGCCGGCTGAGCAGAGCCGGGAACTGACGTGAAGCGCTCCCAGCACGCAAAGGCGAGGCCCGCGTTTCCCGACTCGGCATAAAAAAGGCCTCATCCTTTTTCTCTGTTCTCGTATCGCCTTCATCCTGCAGATTTGCCCCACCAGCTGCAGCTTCCACAGGCTCCGGAAGGCAGAGAGGAGGACTGTAACGTCTGACCACTGCAAATCAGAGGTCCTTTAAATATGCATGCGAATGGGGACAGAAATGGGTGATCTGTGGATCAAACTGAGACGAATGCTCTCGATCAACCTGCTTGCGGACTCAGTTTCAGACACAAAGAGCCTCCTGCTGGTGCCGCCTGATACGATACGCTGGAGAGTTTAGATAGCGACAAGCACACGACGATGTCAGCGGCGGCTTTTCAACGCGGCACCTCCCTGGCTGATTTTTTCGGAGGCAGCTTTGACGCCTCGGCGCAGCGTCAGCAAAACGGGACTTAAACCTCCCTGCGCAAGACGCAGACCTTAAAAATGGAGGCTACCTGAAGCAGCAGGTGATCTGAAAGCGGCTTTAAACGCTTTGGTGTTTAGCTGCTACGAACAGCTCTGCGCTCTTCGCCTGGAAACACAGGTCTTTGGTAAAGATACCTGCTGATTCGCTTTAAATCGAGGCCACATAAACGACAGCTACAGGGGGGAAATGGAGGACTAAGTCTATCCGTATCTCGTTTTTGGTTAGTTTTGTACTGGGAGGGAGAGCGTTGATGGGCGTTTTGTGAGTGGGTCGTTTGGGGCCGTCGGCTAAACTGAGCAGTGTTTTAGGAGGATGCGGTGGAGCCGGCGCTGATCTGGATGGTAAACGGGCGACGCAGCGGAGTGTCCGGCGCACTCACGGGGAACGGCTCCTGCCAGCTGGCTCCCACGATGGAGGGCCTGATGATGCCGATGCTGAACTTGTCCTGCTCCTGCTGCACCACGTACTCAGCCAGGGCTTTGGTGTAGGTGTAGGTGTTGGGCCGCTCGCCGATGAGCCGCGGCGTGATGTCCCGCACCATGCCGTCGTCCATCCACCTGGAGGCCGGAGCGGAGAAGAAACAGAAGGGGGTAGATTTGTCAGAGCTGGTGGTTCACTCAAACCTATCAAAGTAATAATAATAATAATGCCAAAAAACAGAAAGTCCAGCTGGGTGGGCTGCCAAAAGTTTTTTCAACCAGGAGCGTAAAATACGAAGTAATAAGGGGGGTTTCCAAGGCCATCAGAAAAAAAGAAAATGCTTTCCCAAAGAAATGAATATAAAAAGTGATAATCTACCAAGAAGAATTCACTTCCCCCTCCTCAACAAATGCATCCACAAGCCTTATGGCCCCTAATTAAATGCACTGCTTTTACAGGACTTGTTTTGCTTGCTTATTAGAATCCACACGATGTTATCAATCAAGCTGAAGTGGAATCGATTTAGTGTTTTAGTGGAGCAGAAGAAAAAAAAAAACAACAAAAAAAACCCCCCACCCCTCATCCACTCACTCCAGAGACTCTATGAGCTTTTTGGGCTCCACGGGCGGCGGGTAGACGACCTCGTCGATGTGCTTGCGGTTGCAGTTTGCATAGGCGGTGGAGACGTGAATGAAGGCCTCGAGGTGGTGCATCTGCTGGGCCAGGCCCAGGAGCTGCTGCGTGGCGATCACGTTCAGCTGCAGGGCGTGTCTGCGGGCCGGAGGAGACACGGCGTTAGAGGCCGCATGTGCGTGCATGTGCCAGGGAGGCGTGGGAGTATTGGATAAAAAAAAGAATGCACAGAATAAAAGGCAAATGAGTTTGGCGTGGGAGGGAAAGTTCTGATTGCGTCTGCGTGCATATTTGCTCGCCTGCTAATCTGAGCATTTGCATGTGCATTTGTTTGTCAAATGCTGACTGTTTCTTTTTGATGACTATGTGTCGACCAGCAAGAATTTTGAGAAAGGAACCTTAAGCTGGAGTGGAATGATAACGAGAAACGCAATCAACGAGGCAGGCAGATTCTTAGCCAAATATGTTGGTTTAAGTATTTTTCCTGATCCCTCTTTTTTTTATACCAAAATCAAGCTAGGGTTAACTGAGATCCTAACAACAATGCACTCCAGACATCGGGATAGATATATGCTGCTCTGCCACTACTTATTTAGATGAAAACCTGAGGTAAAGTCAGATCACATAAAGAAATCCCCCCAAAAAGGAAACTACACACACTAACTGAAAAGAGGATCAAGAATATGTTCAAAACATACAAATCTGATGGATATATCTCAAGATTTTGTGTCTTTATGGAACTGTTCTTGGAATTGAGCGAGGTTTCATTGGGTCGTTTAATGTTTTCTCTGTTTTACTTGTTTGTGTTTGCCAGGTTTGAGGTGATTATCTTATCTTGAAACGGTGTGCATCATTGAAATCTCAAAAGCTTAAGCTTTCCGACAATGTAAAACATGCAGGTGCATAGCGAGGGGTCTGAGAAAAATATGAAATACGCAATGTCCGGCTGGCAGAACTTTGGGATGTTAAGGGGTTTTTAAACCCAGTAATGTGTGCGAGAGCAGTGAGGGGGAGAATCACAAAAAATGCCCGATCACATGTGGGGGCGGTGATCCCGAGGTGAGCCCTCCTCACACAGAGAGGCAGCCTAAGGTGTACGGGCTGAGTGTTGGTGGGTCGTGGGCGGCTTGGTCCAGCAGCAGGAATCAGGATGGCCTTAATGGGGGGGGGGGGCTTTGTGTGTGGGTGTGACATCTTCCCAGCACTGAAACCTGGGACCGCGTCTAGAGCGGCACACCAGCAGGACGGTCAGGAAGACTGGACGCACTGCTGAGCTCCTTCCTGCCACTGAATCATCAGCCACCTGTCTTTGAAACAGCAGCATATTATATATATATATATATATATGCATTTTGAGCTGTCTGACCACAAAAGGAACCCACAACAGTTCATGGTTAGATTCACGGATAAGAAGCAGCTTTAATTTCACTTCTCTTGTTTCCTTCTCTTTCTTTTCCACGCATGGTAGACAAACCCGTGTAAATCATTACATTCTGACTGCTATCATTTCCCTCTCCGTTGTTCTTTGACAATGGTGCCGCAGTCGTGGATCTCAGTGAATTCCGTGTTGCTCTTGCAGCAAAAACAAAGACGTGCGGCACACAGTTAGCCTAAGCAAGCTCGAATGATCCTTTAAGTGTGGATAGGTAAAGCCCTGTACAAGTAAAAAAAAAAAAAAGAAAGAAAAACTGAGCCTCGGGCTGTGAGTGGAGTCGGCCGACCTGTGGCCGCCGGCTGCTGCTGGGCAGTAATGACTGTGTGATGACAGAGAGAGAGAGAGAGACGCAGTGACCGGGCAGCCAGGAGTCACAGGCTTTCAGAGAGGTTTGAGACGAGTCCCAATGACTGCATTCAACATCCTATTGTTTGTCTTCCTTAGATACAAATCACTGAAGCAGCGGGCTGTTGTCATGGATTTTTACAATTCCTGACAGCCAGAGACACAAGCTAACCTCTGGCTTTGTTGCACAATCAGTCTTCATCAGACTGGGTGGTGCTGCATTCTTCCTCTTCTGTGTCCGCATGACTATAGTTTCCATCTCATCTTTGGAGCGGTTGTTTCGGAGCCTGTTCAACCACACCTTTTTTTTTTTTTTTTTAGGGAGTGGTGCTTTGTGTTTCAGTGTATCAGATCTTTATAGACTGCATGGCTTCAAAACACTCCTTTATCAAAACACATTGTTGTCTTTATAAAGGTGTAATTATGCCTTTCAACAGAACTGATGACGTCAATCTCTAGTGCGTGATGGTCTAAATATTGCTTAGAGCCTCTTCCGTTTCAGTTCTGGAGCTGAATACCCCAGAGGATTTCTGAGATAAATAATAGAGTCTGTAAACTGATTTAATACAAAATCATAAAACAACTCAAAAATGCGATGTGTGCCATCATGGCCTGGGGGCATATAAGGCAATGTTAAAGGCAAACGCCTTAAGAGCTCACTCCATCTCTCTCTGCAGCCTTCAGCAGACGCATCTTAATCCTAACAAGTCCCGACACACGAGTTTATTCTCTGCAGAGCCTCTTCAACCAGACAGTAAGAAAACGCGTCCCAGAGAGTCTCCTGTTGTCGTAAAACGATCAAGCTGGAGCACAGCTCGAACGGACGGCGCCCCGTCTACGCACCAAATCTGTGTCTTTTTCGTGTTATTTTTGGTCTCAGCACAGTTTGAAAACAATGTTCTGGCCCATGTACGAGAACAGCAAGGTAAATATTTAGCTTTGGCTCTGAGTGATGCCCCGGTAAGCTTGAAGCAGTAAAAGAGCTGTGCTGAGAAAAAGGCCATGGCGTTTTAGTTGTTTTTGACAAATGACTCTGTGTAACACGGCCGCCTGATTGCAGCTTTTTCATAATTGCCTCTGACAGCTGAGACGGCCGGAATCAGCAGAGTAAATAATTACACAAACAGTTCAGCGCCAGGCTACGCAGGTTAAATCTAATCAATCAAATGCGACCACTAAATGACGCCGCAATCCCAGATTTGGGCTCTGAAACCCAGAACACGATAACACGACACGACCCTACAACTGTTATTAACCAGAATGCAACCCGTGCTGTGGCCCCACCTTCAAAGGCGCCATTTACTGTTCGATTAAGGCAAAATCTCACAGTTTATTTCTCCACATCCTCATCCCGCCGCACTTCCTCTTTCCTTTAGAATCAAATCTGGACTTTTTGTTTCACAAAGGGAAGTTCCTGCTACTCGGAACAGAAACACCGGCATTGTTTGAATCTGAGGGAAGTTTTTGTGTCTTTCTTTGCCACAGTGAAAAGCCGAAAAAGCTTCCGCCTGCACAAAACAAAGGCATGGGGGGGGGGGCCCTGCTGTGCCCTGCGGGGGGGGTTTGTGTTGTGCCATGCTCACTTGAGCGGCTCGTCGAAGCGGATGGTGGCGGCACAGTGGAAGACGACGTTGATGCAGGCGGTGAGCGTGGCGACGTCCTGGGAGCTGATGGCCAGGCCCGGCTGGGTCAGCTCGCTGCTGATGGCCACGATCTTCTGGTGGAAGTCGGGGTTGTCCTCTCTCACTCGGTCGAACAGCTGGCCGGGGACGACAAAACACACACACATAAAAAAAAAAGAGGTTTAGGAGAATTTCAAATGGCGCCGGACGTCAGGCGGAGTGCTTGACTTGGTTAGAGCTCTGTTCAAAAGCGTTTGGCGGCCCCGGCCGATGGCGGCCGAGCACATGTCGAGGTCGTTTGCAGAACAGCTTAAGGAGAAAGAAAAACAGCCAAACAAAAAAATAAAGGCTTCTTTTATTCTCAGAATTTTGTCTCTTTAGTCAGTCAGCGTGACGAGTCTGAAGCAGCTGCCGAAAACCGCTGTGACCAACGGCTCGACTGGATCTAAAACCAAAAGGGTTGAAGGCCCAGTCGTGCCGATACGACCGCGTTTTCACAAAAGTGGATTTGGCGTTTTTTCTGGGAGTGGAAAAGAAGGGACTTTAGCTGCAGGGAAGCAGTTCCTTTTGTGTGTGCTGTGAGTCAGACTGAGGAGTGTTTCCCGATAATGTGGTACTGTAAACACTGCGCTCAAGCACACACACACACACACACACAGGCACCACCAAACACACAGCTCCGTGAGTCAGCCCTTACAAGTAATTGTGTCACTGAAGAAATCCACGCTCCGTCCCTGCTCCGTACAGAACACTATCAGGGCTGTGCATTCCTGAGCAGAGCGAGCCCGGTGTTTGCTCTGCGATATCCTGAGAGAGGCGCGGAGGCCAGCACAAAGCCCCGCTCGTGTGACATTCCTCCACCTGTTTACTCTGGTGTTTGCCAACTGACGGGCCGGGCATGGCATTCTGACATGGAGGGGGCGGGGGTGGGGGGCATTATGTGAACTCCAGGGCCCAACGCAGCCTCCAGATCCGGCGGAGGGAGCCGGGCGCCGCGTCCCGTCAGGTCTGTGTGGCGTCGGGGGGGACGCGGGGGGGACGCCGGGCAGAGTGGGATGTCCTGTTAATGGCGGCGCGTGCCTCCCTGCAGCTTTCTGCCTCGCCTGCTTAACTTGACTCGCTGGGCTGGATCGTTTTAACAGATCAGCCTCTGACGGCACGAGAGGAGAGGGAAGATGGGGGCGGGGGAGGCTGAGGGATTGCCATGGGAGTGCGTGTTACGAAACTGCTGGCCTTTGTGTCAGCTGTCCAAGTCAGGGACGCTCCCTTAGCTGCGGGGGACAGATGTTGAATTAGAACGCTTCCAGCAGCCGTTTGCGTCCACATCATGCAGCCCACTCGGTTTTACGCTGTGTGAGGCCTCCTCTGCAGATGCTTCACAATCGGATGCCCTTATTAGGCAAAAGCCAGGCCCTCCAGTGTGCGATGTCGCAAAGCAGACATGTTTCTAATTGGTGGAGGGGGGATTAAGGTGGTATATTCTCCTTCACAGTGTGGCATTGCTGCCATTATGTAACGCAAATATACTAATGTTTTGCCGGCTCTGCTGTAGGCCAACAGCTGGTAGGGACAGAGACGGGGAGTCTGCAGAAAACAGCAGCAGAGTGAGAGGTTAGCTGTCCAGCTACCTAAAAATAATAAAAAAAGAAAAAAAAGAGACAGAACACCCCCCCCGAAAAAATCCCCAAATATCAAACTTGAATGAGTTTAAATGCACAGACTGTTGCCTCCTCACTATGAGTCACGGAGCAGCCGATGTCATGCACTGACCTCGGTTTAACTTCCTCTTGAGGGCGCGTAGCCGTGCAACGGCGGTAAACAACCCACCAGAGTTCATCTGATGCCTCACCACACTACCCACAATTTTGCACAAGAAGTTAAAAAAAAATTAAATTACTAGGAACCTGTAATGAAGGTCTGCCCTGAGAACAAAAATGTAATTCGTCTCATAGTTCCAAATAGTAGATTATGTGTCGGTAGAAAAAGGGACCAAACACAGGAGTGGAAAAAAAAAAAAGAATGAAGAAGTGCCTCAATATTACAAGAAAAAGTGACTGAAAGGAAACCATAAGCCTAAGTATGTTCGTGGCTGGTGGAGATACGTCTGTAATGATGAGCTTAAGATGGGGAAAAAAAACAGCTATGACTAATCATTTCTAATTCAGTTCTTGCGGATGAATCCTGAATACTTGAGGAAACTGCTGGTGCCAAGCGTTCTGATAAATAATCCTGAGATATGTAAGCAAATTTCCTCATGATCTACATGCACTACATGTTTTCACAGAGGTTGTAGTGACACAACATATGATTTCTACCACCTTCGCTAACCTTCCTGTTTCACGTTAACCACAGAGACCAAAAAAAAAACGACTAAAATACTTTTCTGCTCATTGAAACCAAAACCTTTTTTCCCCTATTTTGTGGAAGTCCAAAGATGCTTTGTACCAGGATGCTAACAGGTAGTGTGCTAGCTCTGAAGAATAATATTACAAGATCAAGGCTGTTTTTTGTAAACAAGTTGCTAACAAGGAAGGTTTTTAAACAGCTGCTAATTAAAAATTTCACAAATGACACTTTTCATTCAGTGTTGTCACTACACGTGCAATAAAATATACACACATATTTGTATACACATATGCACATCCTTAGTGGTTAGCTCAATTTGAGACCTCTGTAGTTTCCTTTTTTTTCTTTTCAATTCCGGTTTGACGTTAGCAATAAAAAACAAAACATTGAAATGCCAGAATTTGGGAAGCATGTGGTAGCTTCCCTGCCTATCGCAGATTGAAGATATAAGGAAAATAATGTAGCATTTGAGTGTTTTTTTTCACATCGAACCTCTTGCACAGGCCTCCTTTCTGCCCAAAATATTTGCAAAGCACCTCCAAGCCAACGTTAAGTTACGTAAACACCCAGAGGGCAGAAAGTGCGCGATGGTCGGGGGGGTGGGGGTGAACGAGGCCGCGCAGTGTGGGCTTCAGAGAGCTTTTTGTTGCATGCGCAGGCAGAGATGGGCATTGTGGCCGCTGCTCTGTAAAAAGCTCTTTGGATTGGTAAGTGTTCCTGTGCCAGCCTTCCGCCGCTCGCATTTACCGCCGCGCCCTCCTCCCACCCACGGCCGTCAGCGAGCAAACTGCCTTGCACAGGGAGACAATGGTCCCGTTTGCAGCACTGAGGGCGAAGACGTCGCCACAGCACTGGGCGCTGTGCACTGTGCACGCACAAGCGTTGTTTTGTTTGCATTTCTTCTGGTCGGTCAAACAACTCGCAGCCTAAATCGAGCTCCGCTAACAAGCCCACTGCCATTCATTTAACCTGTCGGGGTAGCGCGGGGTCACCATTTGTCCTTTCTTGCCACTGAACAGGCCTGTTTTTAAGACAGTGAGGACAATAAATCTCCCATCTGGAGGGCTTGAATCAGCCGCTGTGTGGACTTGTGACGGTAACCTAACACTAATGGCACTTTCCTTTCAGCCCGGCAACTCGAGATGCCATTTTAAAGAGCCTCTCTTCTCGCCGGCTGGCCTTTAGCTGGACTCCGCTCTTTTCACAGCCCCCCTTTCACCATTGTGGGAGAAAAATTTCAGCTTCAGTCGGCACCTTTTCCTTGCCCGGCCCGGCGGACTCCCCCAGCTGGAAACGAGCTGGAAAAATTCACAGTAGCCAGGGAAAGTCTGCCAAAGTGTGTCAGAGGGAAGCAATTAACGGCGGTACCCTCTGCGTTGACCTCCATTTCCTGGCATGTGCTGTCTAAATTAGTCAAATAAATGGGATGTGAGCAGGATTAATGACAAAGGAATGAGGGGGAAAAAAAGGGTGCTTCCAAAAGATGTGGCAGAAAGAAGAAGTGCCGGGCTAAGAGAGAGGTTGGCAACGCCAGGACTCGCATGTAAAGCTGTGAAGGAGGACCGACACCATGAGCACGCAGGGCTCTCAGCTAAAGGACACATTTCCACTGTTCTTCAACCCATCTTCAATCAGCCCCCGTCCTTGCTTCCTAAAGAGCCTCCCAGGGGGGCTCGGAACAGATTTACACACTTTGTGTGCCACCACACTTTTCTAATTCCGGCCCTGAACGAAAGCCTCTCTCAGTCAAGGAGTAAAAACAGTTTCAAACGTTGATCTCCTGCTTTGAAACGTCTGCTTATGCGTAAGAACACTTCCCTCACGCTCAGAAAACGTGTTAAAACGTGAGGGGGGGAGTGACGGAGCACCGAATGCTGTGGTGTGACCCAACGTCAATACAGCCTCCGGCTCTTGTTTCAGTTCACGATAAGTCCACTTCAGACGGAATCTGCAAACTGTCATCTTGCAGCCTCGAATATCTTGGCTTTTTGAAGGCTTAGGGGATTGATCTGGGATGGCAGGAGCAGCCTAAATGGAAACGGAGGGGTTCTCCCACAATCTGCGCCTGCACACAACTCGAATGAGACGATCGATTCGAGCAAAGCAATAACACGGAGTTTGCGGGCTGAGGTTTGGTTTCCGGCCTATCGGGATACGACCCGAAGCTGAACGGATCGCTTCATTATCAACGAGGAGATTTCACCAGGAACTCCTCTGAAACACTCTGCTGCTCCAATGCTTGTGGGAAAGGGGATTTCTTTTCAAATTATAAGGTCAACCCTTCCCATTACAAAAGAATCCCCAATCACGAGTACCAGCCTTTGTGTAAGAACTCACAGCAGTGCGCTGCCGAAGGGACTCCAGTGTCACCAGCCCCATGTCTTCTGGAGACATCCAGGTCAACAATGCTGCTGCATTAACCACAATGTTGTGCTGTGACACAAACAAATGCCGTCTTCTCATCACCCCCCGGCACGTGAAATTCTACATTATTTCCATCCCACATCAGCTGCCTTGACACGGCCTTATGGAAGCCAAGATGTTCTGCTTGAGATGCTGCTCAGTGAACCATGATTTTATTGCTCTCGGCCTGACTGATTCTGATCACGCAAATCCATAGAATTTGCATTCTTAAAACTCTTTGCATTGTCTTTGACATCCAGAGTGTGAAACGGCAGTCCTGTCCTTTCGGAATGGGGCAGTATTGAGCTTTGTCGTCTCGGTCCAGGCCGGTCCAGGCCTTGTCAAGCCAGTCCAGGAGACTGGGCCAGCCGACACGTACCGTGCGGTGATGTAATGCACGTGTTCTATGGCTTAATGAGCAGGCTTTCAAATAAGAAATCTTTGAATGCTAACCACAGAGAAAATTACACATAACGTCTCACACGACGCGGTGAGAAACAACAGCTCGGTGGGCTCCAACGTGTGGCTGAAGTAACAAGGTATAAATCATCACATCGCTTCTCGTTTGGCTTCCTGCCCCAGATCTCTGGGAAACGTATGTGTGCGTGTATGTATGCGGGAAGAGAGACGGGGCAGGGCTGCACCGATCCCCGGAGGCCCCGTCTTCTCAGCCCTAATGACTTCGCCGGTAGAATTCAATGAGCTAATCAGTTTCATAAACTCAAGTTAATTTGCGGCGTAATTATATGCAAAGGCATTGCTCTCCCATTCGCCCGTCTCTCTGGAGAGGAGCGACAGAGCTGCTGGTCGCTCTCGGCATACTTGCCTACTGCCAAAGTATCACAGATGAAAAAATGAACGGATGCCCAAGTCCTCGAAGCCCAGAACGGAGTAAATGCTGAGTCGCCCCTTCCCTGGACGCGGTACCTATGCGACCGGCTGTAGATCCGGAGGAGAAATGAATCAGGAAGGGCAGGGAGGGAGAGCCGTTTCAGGGTGGCCGGCAGCTGGCCTTAACGGCTCAGAAGCACCACAAGTGGACATCCTCAATGGAGCCGGCGGGAATCGATGCATCTTGAATATTTACACTGCGGGAAAGATTACCTGAGTGTGGATGCAAACAGGAAGAAATCAATACGACAATGTAGTCATATTGGCCGATAGGGAGATAAAAGGCTAAGGGTTGAACGCCACGGGGAAGACAGCAGCTCGTCTGCACAGTGGGAGTCAGTGTCAGGGGCGTGCACGTTAATCCCACAGTGTGCGTTTTAAAGAGCTTGTTATTGAAAACTAGGGGGTGTCATTCAGTAAGCCTGCTGCCGGAGGCTCAGCGTTTGTCTTTGTTTTGGTTCCTTTCCAGTGTCTCATCATTGTGAATCAGTGGTGAAACGGCGAGATACATCGGCAAGTATTAAAAAACGGCGCACTTTAAAGCCTGAGTGCACATTTGGATGAGTCAGGAGCCACGGCACGACGATTGGAGGGGAGGAGAAGTGGTGGAAAACGTTACGACGTAGTTTGTGGAAATGCGTTTTATGAGGCGGAAGCAGGAAAATAACCGGCTGGTAGGGTTCGGTGAACCGACACATCGGTCTGGAGAGAGCCACCCACTCCTTGCAAGATCCTGCCTTGAAAGCTAAATTCCATAAGATCCCTGTTCCTACCCAAAACATTCCTCCTCCCACCTCTCAGCCGTCACCCCGACAGCTGCAGAGCTGGAGATGCTGCGCGGCCTTAGATGCCTTCACTGGGTTCAACAGTCCGACTTATCGGGTGCCTGGCTCGCCATTCGATGCCTGGCACTACAGCGAAAGCTGGACTCACAGAAACTCTTCCACCCGATCAGAGCGGCCTCGGCCCAGATGGACACAAGCGGCGCTTAAATGTCAGACACAGAGCAGTGGAGATTCAAATCGGTTTGTCCTTTTTTCTGCTCGGGGGCAGCTCCCCTGATTGCATCCTTTGAGGAAGAAAAAAAAAAACACAACACAACGGGACACATCTCCTGGTTGTTACCTAGCAACAGGTTGTAAGACAGATACTGGCCTGGCCCGCGGGATGAGAGGCTACTTGAGAGACAATACCACAGGTCTCCTTCATGAATTATCCCGTTTGTGAGAGGAATAATGCAGACCTGGGGACTCGCATGAATACTAATTAGTACTTGAGGCCGGGACATGTAAATTTAATGACATCACTTTCGACTGTAGACTGAGCGAACCTGCATGTGGGCAGAGCAGTAAGCGGCGACCCAATGGAGTGATGCCAAACCCAATGGAAAAAAAACTATTTTGAGAAGGGGGAGGGGGGTTGACACTGCACACACTAAAAGAGGTTAAATCATACGTCAATACTTTAACTGTAGGTTAAACACTTTGGCAAAGGTCAACTTATAAGAACCGAACAATGAAGAGGAAAAATGTGCATATTTGATCCATGCGAGATTCGATGATTTAACCCGTGTGCACTCTTGTGGGATGAATCTGCCACACTGCCGTGCTCTGATGTTGATCTGTGCCTCTTAGGTGTGAGATGCTGCACACATTCAAAGCTCAAAGTCACATGGGCTAAAACAGTTTTGCGGATTATAAAAGTCAGTCTAAAATTGAAATAGGGTATAATATGTCTCCTTTAAAAAAAAAGAAAATAAATCTATTCAATGTTTTTTCACCTTTTGGGAAAAAGAAAAAAAAAAAGTCACCTTAACCTCGGAGTTGAGGGCCGATGCTGACGTGCCTCCAAACAAGAAAGCTTAAAGGAAGGTGCTGGAAGGCTGCAGCAAAAAGAACACGGCCATGCTTTAGGGGAGGAGAAAATAGGCCCTGCTCAGTGGAAATGACAGGGTGTTGTTAACTGGCATTTGTACAGCCCTGTTTGGTCCTGGCGCTCTAATTACATGGCGAGATGTTGTCTGTTGAGTTTGTGGGGCCGGGCGCCTTGACAGAAGGAAGGGAACATGAAAGAAATAATCTTTTTGAAATGAATTAATGTGCAAACTCCCTCCGACTGCTGCCCCGCTGCTCGCGCAGCAGCCATTGGAATAATGACTGCGGCATGGAGCCGTGATGAAAGCAGTAGAATCAGATGCCGTCAGAGGGACACAAAGACAAGGAGGCGGAAAGAGAAAGAGAAACGTGTCAGTTCCTTAGGTTTGCTGACAGTTTGGGGCCAGCAACGCGCAGCAGCAGCAGCTGCACTGTGCAGCCAGTCCCCGGTCCTTTGCTCCTCATTAACTCCGCTGGAGTTTGGAGGTTTTTTGCAGAGTCATGCTTTGCTGCCCGGCCCGATACAGCTGATGCCACACATTTTGGAGTTCATCCTCCGCTGCCGTCTCCTCGCTGCTTCCCCCAAACTTCCGTCTCTCTGAGCCTGTCCTTTCCTCACCCCTCCTGTCCTGAAGCCAGCCTTTGTTATGCAACGCTGCAGACATTGTTACACCGACAGCAGCCACTTCAGGTGACTTTTCGCGATTCCAATCAATTTGTGCTGAAGCTCAGAGATGAACTATTGGACTCTTCTGGGGTCTTTAAACTCGTCTCACCATGGCAACGGAGGTTGCTGCCGAGACGCATGGTCAAATTTCTATTGCTCAGAAAACATTTGGCCACAACGTGGTTGAATTCATTTGAATTACCTACGTCAAAATATGCTTAAAGTTGTCTTGTTAAGGCTGCTTATTCAAGGCACTGGTTTTTAGAAAAAAAAAAAAAAAAAGCTTTAAACGATCCATCACAAAGGCCATGAAGTGGTGGACAAGCCTACTTCAGCTTTTACAATCTGCAACACTTAATGTGTTCAAAGCACATAAAAGCTGACAGACCATGTAAAAGCCCTTTGGTTAAAATATAATCAGAGCCGACATGAATCTTGGTCACAAAGCAGCTCTCTCATTCTTTTTTTTTTTAGCACATTTGCAGTCTCTGCAAGGTTCGGCTTACAGATACACAGCACATCTGCTAAGTCACAAAGAGGTGATAAAGAAAAAGCAGTAAAGGACTTTTTTTTATAGTCTCACACATTCTTCAGGGAGGCACCTTGCTGATGAACTCTCCAGCCGGGCGACAACCTACTCTGTGGAAAAGCTCTCAAAACCGAATTCATCGTATGATCATCTCGGTCATCTCATGCGTAAACAACCTCCCTCAAGAGGATTGTTAGAATTCATCTAGAATTCAAATGCTGCATAAAAGCAGCATACATTTACATTCAGTAAAGTAAAAAGATTCAACACAGCTACACAATCAGATGCCGGAACATTCTCACTGACACTGGGATCTCCACTAAATAATAATGACTTGAATGCTGTATTGAATGCTGTGGTGATTCTGCCTTGCCTTGATGTGCATTAATTTTACAAGCTTTGATTCTTTTTTTAAATAAACCCATCGGGAAAGGCTTTAAGCCATTATAACATTGAGTTATAATGACCGACTGAGAGCCGGGCAGTACCTGGGTGGTACAGGGTTAAAACACAGAAGCATTTAAAAAGGGAAATCCGTCGTCCTTTACCTTGCACTTCATCATGTCGTTGACCCTCTGCTGCATGGACTGTCCGGCTTTAGGTCTGACCAGGATGTAGAGGGCTTTGACCTCAGGGCAGGACCTCAGCAGCTTCTCCACCAGGACCTTTCCCATGAAGCCGGTGGCTCCGGTGATCAGCACGCTCTTGCCGGCGTAGTACTCGGCCACAGACGCCATGCTGCTGCCCGCTGGGCCTCGGCAGACCTCGGTCGGTCCCGTCTGAGTGCCTGGGGCCGCCTCTCCCGATCTGCTGAGCTCCTGGCCTTCACACCGATCCTGCGCGGAGGAGGGAGGGGGAGGTGAAGACAAGGCCAAAGGCCGCAAACTTTAAATACAACACCGGGGAGCATTTGTGGGGCCGGTTTGATCTTAGCGGCGAGAAGCTTGAACCGACCCGTGAATCGCCCCATCACAGAAGAGCGGGGGCCTTTATACGCTGCAGCCCGATCGTCACACAAAGCTCATTATTCTACGGCCTACATCTTTTATGGCCCCGGACCCGTCTGGAATGGGTCTGAGATACTCAGCTTTTTTTGCACTGCTGAATATTCTGGAGCCAAGTTATGAGACTTTCCATCTCCTGGATGTTTAAGTGACCCTGGCCTCCGACTACATTATACAATTAGACCATAAACCAGCAGACAGGATAGCTGTGACGTGTTATCGAGCCAGCTGTCAATAAAACTGCCCTCTATCAAAAATACGAGGCAGATGGCGGCTCGTGCACGCCACATAAAGGCAGTGGATTTATGGCTCGCTGCACTTAGCGGTAGCTTCTCTTAGACATTTGTTTTTTTTAAATTCAGAATATGCTGAGGTGGTTCACCCATTTTTCTTCTGCACTTGGAAACTGCTGAGAAAAATATGTTGGCTAGTGGCAGCCCTCCACTTGATACGTCTTTGTTTTATTAATACAACGTATTGGTTAGTTATTTGTTCAAATTATTTTGTTTGACAGAAACCATGTAGGGAGCAAGGGTGGAAGAAAAAAAACAAAAATGTGGATGCAATACTAATACATTTAAAATCAGAATGAATTGAATAAAAATATTCCTCAAGATTTGGGTTCGATCATTTCTCACTGGAGAACCATCTATTTGCTTCCAAAGAACGCTTTAATCTATTTGCAGAATGATAAGACATCACTGCATGTGGATCTTTTTGTTCTCACTTTATCAGATTTGTGTTTCTGAGAAGACATGACTGGTTTGTCTTAGAAGAAAAACAAACATTGGGCTCAACCAGAACGAGATTGATTTAAGGATAAAGATGCTACTTTATTCCTGGGGTTGTGGTCAGCGTTCAAGCGCTTCATTTCCACTCTTAGAAACGAGGCCCACTCCTCACCACCTCTCAGGTTTGTTTTTTTTGTTTTTTAAAAAGGGCATTTTCTTCTTTTTGGTTGGAAGCTAGCAGTGTGGTTTGGATTAGAGGAGCTTGTTGACGGTGCCTTGGAGGCCCGTTAAATCCAGCAAAGCCGGTGTTTCACAGACTGCGATAGCATGAGCAATTTACAAGTTTGAGCGGGTTTATGGCCGCTGGACTTTGGAGGCTGGAAAGTCTCGGCTATTTCCATGGGTGCTGATAACACAAGTGAGCCTGGAGGGTTATTATAGCGCCGATTTTAAAATAGAATGCATCAGCGGCATCTGACAGAAAGTGACGTGTGAACCCGGAAATTGGCAAAGCCTGACGTTGTAAAAACAACAATTACAAAGGAGCCATTTATATTGGCGTGCGTAATGCTCATTATAGGGAAGAGAATTGTTTTAGTTTAGTTTTAGCCCTCATCAGGCGTCTCTGTCCATAGGCCCTCCAGCTTGACTGTGATGGTGACAGCAGCTCCGATCAGAACCCTTTGTCGACAAGCTCTCTGTCGACTGTAACCAAAACAATGATGCACCGTTTCAAGCCTCTTCAAGGGAAGAAAAAAGAAATACTCAGGTTCCAACAAAGACGGAAATCAAAATCCTCTTGTGCAAGACAGGCCCCAGACTGCAAAACTGTCATGTATTCACTTGTTTCCCTTTTCTTATGCCGACTGTGGCAGGAAATGATTAATAACACACACACATACAGACAAAAGGACACGTGCATGTGCATGACTTGGTCTCCCAGAGGTTTTCTGCAGTAAAGGAACCCGGCCCTGAAACAAGATTATTTTCTATTGGTTTTGTGCTTACAGGCACTTGAGTAAGTATCTGCAGATGTACTGCTCTGTATAGCCGGGGACAGAGAAAAAAAAAAACTCTGAAAAAGTCGCAGTTAAGGTCCTCTACTGAGGCCCCCCGACATTCCAGCTTTGAGCCGGCCCGATTCCCTGTGAACGGCAGGACAAGAACAGAGGGGGCTGAGAGTCACTTCGGATTAGCTGCCGACAATGGAGACGACCCCGCGGACGGATGGAGGCGCGCATCTGAGCCTGAATGTTCAGACCTCCGCAAAAAAAACGTAACGCAGCTCCGCCTCTGGCTTCTCCGACGGCGTCCGGCATCCATCTGCCTCCAGCCTACATGGAGGCCGGAGCTGAACCGGTCACGCAGGGAGCTCTGCTCTGCTTCCCCCCGACAGCAGAGACTCCAACGCCGTTGCTATGGCTTCACACTGGGCGTTAGATGGTACCTATCAGTGTGCACGAGCCAGCTGAGATGAGTAGGTAGGAGAGACTGCGTGTAAAGATGGAGCTGAACAGCATCCATCGGCGGCCTCCATCAGAGCTTAGACCAGGGCTTGAGAGGTAAAGTCAAAGTAGAGGACAGTGAGGATGAGTACTAAGGGCCTGTGGGAGCACTTTGCAGGTTTTGATGCCATCTTTGACAAAGTAGTCCATCGTGCTGAAGTCACAGGGGGTTATTTAGAAAATAAAGCTGTACTGTGAGACGGTTGGAGTCTTCAGAGGTGCGCGGTCGTGGGCGGCTGAAGCTGCCGTGCCCTGGCCTTCTTTCCTTTCGGCTCAGCCCCGGGCCGCTCCTCACGCGGCCGCCCCGTCAGTGGGTCAGCAGAATGCTGCTGGAGACGCGGGCTGCACACCAGCCGTGAGAAATGGACAAAAGCAGGCAGCAAGGAAGGGAGGTGGAGCGAGAGAAACAGAGAGACCAAAATGCGGCCAACAATTAAAGCTGCATCAGTCAACTCCAAAAGTCAGTGCCAAGCAACTCAGAGGGAAAAGTCGCTTACTAAGACGGGGCAAATGGTGGAATAGGAACTCCCAAAAAGCTCACTCAGATCCAGTTTCATCCCATCCGTGGACATACGGAGGACTTCAGGCGGAATAACTGCTGGAGTTCCCTCCCCAAATGATTGTGGTCCCATTTTTTGTTGATGGGAAGTTGAGGGTAATTCCAGCTTCTCGTCTTTGTGACAATCTCAAGAGCGTTTCTTTAAAAAAGATAGAGGCGATGAGGGTGTTGTGATGGCTTGAGCCATGTAATGTAGCAGCTTTGCCCATTTAAGCCCCCCAAAAATGTGCTCTGTCTGTAGCTTTCAGTCCGAGAAGTCTGATCCAAATGGTGCATATGGAAGCGATGCATCACCATCTGAAGGTGTCGTCCGGCACCCTCCTGCTCAGCTCTCCCACGCCGGTGAATGAGTTGGAGCTCTTGTCCGCTACACGTAATCATTCAAGCTCATTCAAGATTGCGCATTAGTGTCCGATGAGAAAGAAAATGGCCTCTTCCCTTCCATCTCTTTTTTTTCTGAGGAAACTAAAGCTAATCTAATTAGAATGAATTATATCTGCCGCAGGCTTTGAGGATCTCAGCAGCATCTCTTTTTTTAAACCTTGTGCCAGATTCAGATCTACTGGGGAAGCTTCTTTTCTAAGCGTGGGACAGCTGGAGGTGGGCGTGGGACAGCGTGGGCGTCTGTCTCTGTCGACTGTCGACCTTACGTCCGGCAGCCGAGGGACTCTGTAATTACAGCAGCCTCCTGCTGACAGCATCTCCTCGTGGCGGTGTCCGTTTACGCCTGGCACAAACCCCGGGTTGGCAATCGCCCTCCGAGAACGCCGACCGGGCCGAGAGGTCGCGACCTCGCCCGGTGTGGTCGTCATGGCCAGAATCCGCCCGGCTGCTTTCCAGTAACAAACTTTATCCTTCTGAACTTAGAAATGGCTGTTTCTACTCAAATGTCCTCTTTAAGGACGCAAACATGTCAGATTTCTCTCAAATGCATTTAGAAATTTAACTAGATTAGGTTAGGACCAGATAAAGAAAAAAAAAACAGAAGCTATCTGATTTATATGAAGACAGTCACTCTGACTCTAAAAAACCTTCAGAAGTAAACAGCTAAATGGTTTTACCCAGAGGAGGAGATAACTACACCAATTAGAAAAAATTTGAAACCACAACAACGTACAAGATTAGAATCATGAGGTGAGATCAATAACTCCACCAGGTCTGATATTTGCCTGAGGGCAGAGTTTTTGCCTTTTGCATTCTTCGCTCCAGAAGCCCGACAAGATCGCAGAGCCAACGGTCCAGAAAACACCAGTGGATAAGCTTGACTTCAGAGTTTTAAATATGGAAAAAAAAACAACAACTTTCCCCTCCACTTTTTTTAAAATCAGCCCGGTACAAGGCTCACTCTGTGCTTTGGGAAACGTGAAACCACACCTTCTGCAGCTTGTAGAGACGAATGATTCATCCCTCAAGCAGCAGGAATCTAGACGGATCGCGCCTCTCGCTCCATCCCAGAGTTTCATTTGTCCGCGGGGGTGAAAAGCAAGGGATTTTTTTTTTAAAGAAAAGAAAAAGAAACAAAAAGACGGATCTCCTTTCGTTTCCATGCGTGTAGTTCGCCCGGCCTCAGAGGGCAGAGGGCTGCTTCTGACCCCGCTCAGACAGATATGATCACAATGGCTGACAGGGTGCCAGTGGAGCTCTCACATACCAGTGCAGACATGGAGCTCCGATGGAAAAAGGCCTTAATCGGTGAGGCCCGCGCTGACGGGCCAATCACAGGGGCAGGGCCGGCAGACAGCTGCCCGGTCACTTATGGCGCTGGCTCATTTTCCTAATGCGGGAGGTGGCTGGGATCAGGATATCAGCGTTCAGCGTGGCTCCGCTCGCTTCCTCCTGTGACATTTTTCCTCTTGGCTCTGTGTCAGCGGCATCAGAACTGAGAGTTCTACTGAAAACGCTACGCTGAACAGCTTAAAAAATGACGGCGGTTCTGTCCCACCGTCAGATCAGATTCCTGTCATGCACACGTCTAACACGCATGAGTAAAGTCCAGGCTTCGGTGGCACTTTGTGATGAGCGACTCCTCCGTGCCCGTGAGCGACGCACGGCTCGCCTGAAAGCCGATACCTGTGATCAAGCTCTTTCCAGGTATCCGGCCCACGGATGGATTACAGCCGAGGCGTAGCACTAATTCCCGCGGAGCTTTGCTCACTGCAGGGCCTCGCTGTCTGTTGATGCCAGCCAGCTTTCTAATTAATGACACGGGAGCTCTGGCGGATGTCGATGAGCTGTCCGGACGTCTCCTCCGCTCGATCCACCCGGAGCCCAGTCCGGCCAGCACCGAAGTGACAAGTACAGAAGCCAGGGACAGGATCCTCAAAACAGAAGCCCCCCAGCAACCAAACCTTATTGAAGACGCTAGTCTAATAGATTAGAAGATTTGCGCCGTGCCACAGTCATGTTTGAAGTTGCTCTAGACACTAGTGACTTTAAGAAAGTTTTTTTTAGAATAGCAGAGAAGCTGTGACAGGACGAATATATGTCCCAGAACAAAAGGGGAGGGGGGGGTGCAGGTGTGTTTGTGTGCGTTTCTGGGAGACGATGCAATCAGCTCTGGCTGTCTGCTGGATCCAGACTAGGAAGGGGATTAAAACAGATGCTGCTCTCCCCCTGGACCGGAGCTGGGCTCTGCCACGGTACGCTCGGTCTAAAGTACCAGCAGTAAAGGTGGAAATACAATGTAACGCCCGGCAAACAACTTCTGAACCAACTGAGGACTCAAGTGATGAACGAGAAAGCCAGACCATCTTTACGTTCCTGAGGACAGCCTTTATCAAACAGCAGATAAAAGGGGTTGTTTTGCCCTCTGTGCTTCCTCAGTGGCGCGCAGCGGAGCCGTCGAGGGAGCGGCCCCTTCATCTGCTCGTCTTCCAGCCTCCACTGTGACCAGCCGTTTTGCCTAATGGAGGCCATTAGGCTCCTTGTGCGATTCATTTCCAACCGCAGAGAAACAGCCTGATGTTTACGCTCAGAAAGAGAGGACTGGGTTTTTTGGGGGGTGAACTATGCATTGGTCCTGGCTGCCAGCCGTTTATATCCTCCCATAAGATGCTGGGTGTTCTTCTGGTTCTTC